AACAGTTTGCACCCCCATAGAAACACAAAGTGAAATATATTGTTTGAGTACTCGTTATAGCATTAAATCTCAACGCACAGCACATTAAGGACAGAGATCCTACATGAGGAGTAAGTGCACAGTGACTCCTGTTGTTGACTTTACCAATTGACACTCCTGTCTATGGCATCAGTAATCTCCCTATGCTCCAGTCATGAGTTTCCAAGGCTATGGAAGCCCTCTGAGTTCTCCGACTCTTATCTTGTTTAGACAAGGTCATAGTCAAAGTGGAGGTTCTCTCCTCCCTTCAGAGAAAGGTACCTCCTTCTTTGAAGACCTGTTCTTTCCACTGGGATCTCACTCACAGAGATCTTTTGCCAGAGTGTCTTGGCTTTCCATGCCTGAAATACTCTCATGGGCTTTTCAGCCAGCTCCGAATGCCTTTAGGGCTGATTCTGAGCCAGAGTGCTATTTAGGACATCTGCCCTTCTATGAGTCTGCTGAGTATCTCACTTCCCATGTTGGATCACTCTCTCCTTTATTTATTCTATCGGTTAGTGTTAGCAGGTACTAGACTTGTTTATGTGCTCCCTTTGACTCTTAGTCCTTTCATTATGATCAATTGTGAACTGAAATTGATCACTTGGAATAGTGAGATGGCATTGGTACATGCCACCTTGATGGGATTGAATTGGAATCCCCTGGTATGTTTCTAACTCTACCATTTGGGGCAAGTCAGCTTGAGCATGTCCCAAATTATACATCTCTTCCCTCTCTTATTCCCACTCTTATGTTTAACAGGGATCACATTTCAGTTAATTTTCAACACTTAAGAATAACTGTGTATTAATTACAGAATTAAACCAGTCATATTAAGTAGAACAGACAAAAAAACTACTAAGAGGGATAATGTATTAAGTTGTTCATTAACAGTCAGGGCTATGCTGATCAAGTCACCGTTTCCCATAGTGTCCATTTCACTTCAACAGGTTTCCTTTTGAGCACATTAAATTTTAAAAATAGTTTCAGTTTTTTATTTATTATTAATTGTTATTCTCAGTGACTATTTTTGACATATGTGTGTGTTTTAGGAATATTATCCTCAAGTTCAATGCCATCATCACATTGTACAACAGCCCCAGATCATCCACTCTACGCAATGCCAACAGTCCCATTCTGGCCAACAAATACAAACTATCACAGGAAGTGATTCAATTTCTACAAACACAGGAGATGAATTGTGCCATAGTGGATCAAGCCAATTACATGAACAGGTAAGATCAATCAGCAATTCCTTCTCAACTCAAAGGATTTTCTGGGATCTCTCTTATACCACTGTACAGGTACTCACATTAACTTTCATGAAAATATTGTTTTGTTATAGCACTTTAAAAACAAACTTTTTCATTTCCGCTCAAAGATAAAACAATATTAAATCTATGTGGTATGTTATGATCTGTTTAATGAATGACTAGCTGATCCTCACTTCTAAAATGGACCCAGCAATTGCACAACATTAAATACTTTTAAGAGTTATGACATTAAATGAACAATGAATTGGAAATAATATTATCTAAGATGATTGTAATGTTCACATGTCACAAGCTGGTAATTACTTCCTGTATGTCTTCTTTGAGAATATATCATACTAAGTCAAGTCAGAATGTTTATGCATTTTATTACATATTACAACAAAATAGAAACTAAAACAGTTGCTAAGGAGAAATCTCCTGGGATATAATCCTCAGTGACTGATTTATGTTATGAAGTCTTCAGAATCTTGTAAACTCTGCTATACAAGTGTTAAAGAAAAACAGGTTTTCTTGTATCTTGACAAAACCAACAGTCATAACTGGAACAGTGGGTAATCATTCACCATTTCTGTTTTTTCATGTCAAATCGACCTCTCTCATGGGCATCTCTTACTAAAAGACAAAAGAAAAGAATAATAAATAAAGAAGGATTCTGACTATACAAGAATTTGATGGGCTTGCATTAAATGTTATGGAAGATTATTTTTAAGGACTGCAACTTTGAAATATACACTTTGGCCATATTGGTTAAAGAAAAAACTACAAGTGATTTACAAATATTTTTTCCAACCTAAAAAAATGCACAAGGTGGTCTTTTCTCTGAATGTCTGTATGTAAATAATGGCTTCTAGAACAACTCACAAACACAATCTAGAGTGTATTGATTTTCTTATGTATTGGGTTAGTAATGACCATAAAAAAGCCTTTTTATTAGATTAAATAATTTTAAATTGTCATTTGTATAACTCGAAGTTGTTCAGATATCAACAATTTCATATGGTTCAATCTAATTCTTAACTTTGCTTTCCATTAGTTTCCTCTAATAGGGGAAATGTAGCAAGCACATAAAACATAATACAAAACAAAATGTCTGTCATGAAAGAAGGTTGACAAACATGCTTTGGGAAAAGAAGAGACAAGAAATTAATTTCAGCTGGGAGATCAAGTGAGGTTTTCCTGAGGAGGTGGAAATTGACCTGTATTTGAAAAATGGGGAATTTCCATATGTGGTATTCTGGTGTTGCTTGGAGGTGATATCATAGGAAGAGGGACTCATGTAAACAAAATCATAGACTTGGAAAAATACATTTGAAGTTTCAAGACTTGATTTGTATGTCATGGAAGACATGTGATAAGGAATACTAGAGTATAGTATTAATGTGAATTGTTAAGACCAGGTCTTGAGGTTGGTTCTGGGCTTTCTTTAGCAGACAACAAAGTGAATGAAGGTTATGAAGTAGGAAAATACTGCTGGGTATGTTTTAGAAGGTAAACTGTAGCAGCTTTTTGTAAGATAGGCTAGCATATAGATTAGTTTTCTTCTTACAATGATCCTATTACAAAAGTGTTATTGTTGTGCTTATTCAGATAAGGAAACTGAGGACTGTCACGGAGGTAGTTTCTCTCGCTCTCACTCTCACTCTCGCTCTCGCTCTGTCTCTCTTTCTCTTTCTCGCTCTTTCTTTCCCTGCTCTTCCCTCCCTCTTAAATAAATAAGTACCGGGGCTGGCGCTGTGGCATAGTGGGTAAAGCTGCTGCCTGTGGTGCTGGCATCACATATGGACACCGGTTCTAGTCCTGGCTGCTCCACTTTCGATCAGCTCTCTGCTATGGCCTGGGAAAGCAGTGAAAGATGGCCCGGGTCCTTGGGCCACTGCACCTTCATGTGAGACCCAGAAGAATCTCCTGGCTCCTGGCTTCAGATTGGCACAGCCCCAGTCGTCCTGGCCATTTGGGGAGTGAACCAGCAGATGGAAGACCCCCCCCCTTCCCTTTACCTCTCTGTGGCACTGCCTTTCAAATAAATAAATAAATACATATTTTTTAAAAATAAAAAAATAAGTATATAAAATGTAAAGAATTATAAAGTAGACATACTTTAGGCTATTTTACTTTTTTACTAATAAGTTTAATGGAAACTTACAAATTGTGTGTATTATATGTGATGTTTTCAAACATGTGTACATTACTTATTGTCCAGTCAGGGTAAATATATTTATGTCTGCAAATATTTAATATTTATTTATGGTGAAAACAGTTTAAAATTTTGTATAATTTAAAGAGAAAAATATACAGTACATTAACATTGTCCATATTAACCGTACTGTGCACCAGCACTCCTGAACTTTTATAACATTCTAACTGTGACTTCATACCCATTAGCCAACCTTTCCCCATTGCTCCCTATTCCCTTCCCTCCCTATGTTCTGATAGTCACCATTACACTTTTAACTTCTGTAAGATCACTGTTCTATAGAATCCACATATGACTGAGACTGTGTGACACTTGTCTCTCTGGACTTGGCTTATTTCACTTAACATAGTGACCTCCAGTTTCATACAAATTGTTGTAAATGATAAGATTTCATCATTTAAGAAGGAGTAATATTCCCTTGTGTGTATGTTCTTTTTATTTATCCATTCATTAGTGGATGAACACTTAGGCTGTTTTCATTTCTTGGATATTATGAATACTGTTGCTGTACATATGGAAGTACATAAATCTCTTTGATAGAGAAACCAGGAACTAGGAGCTTCTTCCGAGTCTCCCACTTAGGTGCAGGGGCCCAAGCAGTTGGGCCATCTTCTGCTTTCCCAGGCCTTAGCAGAGAGCTGTGTTGGAAGAGGAGCATGTGGCAGTAGAACCAGCACCTATATGGGATGCTGGCGCCACTGGCGGAGGATTAACCTACTGCACCATAGCATCGGCCCCAACTTAGGATTTTAATTCAATTATTTTAGCTTATGAAACTTTATTCTACTGAGCCACATGGCCTTCAGCGATTGACTTGGCTGAACTGAAGTTCAGTTTCTTTATCTATAGTAAAAATCATATTTTAATGTATTATATATGCCACAAGAGAATTAAATGACTTAAAATATGTAAAACATCCAGGTTAATGCTAAACTTATGGATGTTAAAATGGATGTTTGATTCTTGACTTTCTTGCTCTCTCAACTCAGACCTGAAATGTTTTAAAGCATTAATATAAAAATTGTTCCCATTGAAATAGTATTTTTTATAAAACTAAATCACCTTTAAAGTTCCTTTGGCAAAAAAAGGCATTAAAATATTTTTCAAAATTGGGTATCTAAAAATCTGGCTTCAAAATCTTTTTACAATACTGATTTATGTTTATTTCCCATGGTCCTCTCTAGTAACATCATCATTTTGTTTTCAAATTCAAAATATGATGAGTCATATGTCCTTCCTTGCAGAAATTAAGAAAAACATGCTGTGATAATTTTCCTGCTATTAGCAAGGAACAGATAATTTCTCACATGTTAGCAACAAGAAAAAGCTCAGCTAACTCATTTTAGAAGTTGTCATACAGGTGCTTTTTATAAGAACAACTCAAATAATGATCTATATTGTGTGTGCAACTCTTTTCCACTTGGCTTAAGGCTTCCAGGGAATCTTTTGAAATCATGGAAAGTTGTAAAAGGAACATTCCTTCTCTCTTGGATAGTGCTATTACCAGTGAGGAATTCTTCAATTTGTGACTTGATGCCTTTCTTCAATCATTCAGTAATTCACTTTTAGTAGACATCAAAACAGCACAGATCTTACCATCAGCTACTTTTTGGCAGGTCTTTAGGAAGCATGCTACATTGTTTATTTAACAGACTTCATTCACTGATGATGGGATTTTGATGCTGGTTAGTTTAATAAATTCAGCAGTTCTGTCCCTTCACTCGTAAACATTTGGTTCAAACCCTTCTCCGTAATTGTTGCTTTTTTTATCCCTATTATTGAAAATGAGTGCTTTTATGCAAATACTATTCCTTCTAAATACTAAATTCATATCTGTTTGGGGCCCAACGCTACCTTGTATGTCTCCTGTTATTTTCAGCAGCCTCCTCTTATAGTAAACTTTTTTCTAGGCAAGAATTTTTAATAATTTATTCATTTCTTTTCCTTGGAAAGAATAGAGACAGGGAGAAAGAGAGAGATGGAGATCATTTCTATCTGCTTAATTCACTCCCCCAAATGCCTGCAACAGCCAGGACTGGGACAGGCCAAAGCCAGGATCCCAGAACTCAATCCTGGTCTCCCACATAGGTGGCAGGGACCCAGGTACTTCTGCTATCATCTGGTTTCTCACAAATTGCACATTTGGGCCAGAATGGGCCAGGAAGCTTGATGGGAAATGAAGTAGCCAAGTCTTGAAGCAGACTCTCTGATATGGGATGCATGTGTCCGAAGTGGTTACTTAACTGCTGTGCCTAACACTCACCCCTTTGGTACCCTTTTGAACTCTTTTTTTTAAATATTTATTTGCCTGGAAGAGTTAGAAGGTAGGAGGGAGGGAAGGAAGGAGAAAGAGACAGACAGACAAATAACATCTTCAATCTGCTGGTCACTCCCCAAATGGCCACAACAGCCAAAGCTGGGCCAGGCCAAAGCCTGGAGCCAGGAGCTTCATCCAGGTCTCCCACATGGAAGTGGGAGCCCAAGTATTTGGGCCATTCTCTGCTGCTTTCCCAGGCACATTAGCAGGGAGCTGGATCAGAAGTGGAGCAGCTAGGACTCAAACTGGCACCCACATAGGATGCGGGTGTAGCAGGTAGGGGCTTAACTTGCTGTGCCATAGTGCCACTCTCCCTCCTTTTGAACTCTTGCTTTACAACAGACTCATTTTTTTTAAATTTTTACTTGCTTTCTCTTTTTACAAATAAGCTTTTCTTTATTTATTGATGTAATACATATCATAACTTATGGGATCAAATAGTATTAAAAG